GAAGTTGGTTCACTCGCCCTGGAGAATACTTCGCCTCAGACTTGGGTCATATTTTATGATAAGAAAACATTAGTATAAAAAAATCAATCCTTTCACAACAGAATTCCCTCCTTCCCTTACTGATGAGCACAGAGGAGGGATAACAAGCTTGTTCAGCTCCCTCTCAGGGCACGTGCGAAACGGCAACTGAACTACTTCTTTGAACTGACCTCCCCCCCCCAATAAATTTAGTGTATCTATGAAATAAACATCCGTCTTTAAGTAAGTCCATTGAAAAAGGAATATGAAGCTACAATGAATTTGTTGTAAATCATGCATTACCACTGTATAGAGCACAAGTCTTCATCTCTGTTACGACGGTCTCAATTTCGCACAGTAGTCCTTTACAGAAGAGTAGTCCTTTAGAGCTCCCCCTAGGACATGCGCCCTTTCAGGAACTTGCAGAAGAGCACGATTTAAAGAGGAGCAGACTGAGAAGCCACAACACTCAAAGTTGCTGAATACTTGATTAGTTCCGGGATGACGTTACTCCGCCGAATCACGCCCATTTCCTTCGAAATGTCCGCATTCAGTGGATAATCTACATATAAAAGGCCGAGATACTATGAGGATTTGGCTATACAACGACCACCTTGAATGCAGTTCCGCTCACAAGTGGGAGTCCTCAATTTACGAAGCGCTTCTTTTCGAAAAAGTTGGGTTCATTTCCGCTGAGCATTGTAAGTCAAAAACGGAAAGCGAGTGATGGTTGGATTCCTTACGATGGCAAGTTTTTTCACTAATTGAATTCCCACTTGCTTGTTTTCCTTCATGCCAAACTTATGTGCATGCAAAAATGCACTCAAACCTAACGGGATCTGATCCATAAACCTTTCATTCGCCTCCTATCCACAATAACATCGGATCGTTCGACCATTTCGAACTCAAACGACTTTTTACCATATACTATGGAAAGTGCCTTTTCACTGACCACATTCAGTGAATAACCATACGGAAAAGGAGATCTAAAATCCCTTGCTTGGGAAATACGCGGCTGTTTGGCTCAGGAGGGGGTATTCTACACTTTCATTTTACCAGTTCATGATAACTAACAGGTATCACTTTGGCGAGATTCTTCAGCTCAAAGTGGAACTGCGAAATGGTACAAGTGAGCCACTCTGGGAGCAAGAATTCACAGGGTTTTACATGCTGGTCTGCACAGCTTTCGCTGTGTACCATTCGGTGCCCCACCA